TGGATAGTAAAACAGAATACTTATATAGTTAGTAGAAAGTAACTCATTTTGAAATGAGAAATTGTGAAATTGTAATCTACAGTATTGATAAATATATAATGAAGTAAGCTTAGTAATTTGAATGATTTGATTTGAATATTTTCTATGTGTTATGGCCGAAATTGGTTATGGGATGATACATATTATATCACGTATGCTAATAGAGTCGTCGTAACGCCGTTGAAGCTAAAATCGGGACGTTACATATTATGCTAGCAACATTTTAACCTTTACTCTAATGGAGCCTAACATCACCATCACGTAAAACGAAGCCCACATTCTCCTTCAACAAATCACCACTACCATTACATGTTCTTTCTGTGAGAAGATAAAATGTCTGCAACTAACTTGGGATATGAGAACCTTGTTTATTGTTTATTTTATTTATAGTTACTGACATAATCAAATTATCTAGTTTTTTCTTTCACGAAATTGATAAGACAAGAGGAATTTGTACCTTGAAAGTTACAAAACTGAAGAGTTTTTTAAAAAAAGGTGGAGGATAGCAAGTAGTGTTAGGTAGTCGATGTGCCAAAGCAGTTTTGTGGGAAAGAGAGGTTATATGTTGACAAGGTTTTGGAGTTTTGATTAATGCAACCAGTTGCATGTGAGTTCAATGCAACCACCTAGTTACTATTTACAGGTACTTGGAGGTAATTAGAATTAAGGTTTCTAGGGCAGAGAATTCATGAAATTGTCACTAATTAGAGCAAAGAAGAAACCTAAAGGAATTATTAGTAACTAAGTCACAATTTTTGATATTTTTAAGTTTTTTTTAATAGTAATAATTGATTTTTTCTTTAGAAGGGAGAGAGGAGAAACTATGATGATGCCGGTGATTCTTAAAACCTTGTATTTGCAGTTTAAGCCTTTAAGTGGAGAACTTTATTTTGTTTCTTTTTTTTTTTTCATTTAAGAGGGAAGATGATGTTGAGGCATAAGATCTAGTCTTGGAGTAACCTTCGAGAGGAATAAACCCAAAAACTAATATCTAATTTTACAAGAATAGATGGTTCAAGCATGGATTGTCTTTCTCTAGAAACTTTGGATAACTTTTATTCAATAACTAATACTTGAACATGTTGTTTTTTATCTTAATATCCTTCAAAATCAAGATCGTGGATCACCGACAAGATCCCTGGTGGCCAAAAACAATCATAAGAAAAAGTTATTATATAATTCAAGTTTATTTTTTAAACTTTTGATATGAACATCTTTTATACTTATTAAGTAAATAATAATAAAAAATAACTAATTCATATTAGATATAAAATTGATTTTAAATTAAAATATTATTGTTATTAAAAAATTATCATATAAATATTTTATATAATTAAAATTTAAATTAAGCTCAATCCTAGTTCTCAGTAATTAAATATTGGTTTTGTTTGGTTATACAAAGCATGATCATCTAGTAACTCTCGTTATAATTTCCCTGTCAGTTAGTTAATTTGTATAACTGAATTTTCAAATAAAAAAAAATAATACAACATTTGACAAATTGACATTTCTCCATCAGAATATATATACAATATATATATATATATATACCATGTCAGAGTAACATATTAATTATTTATGAATTTCTGTCTTGGGGTAATGAATTAATTAGTCGATGTTGACATGACTTAGGCTTGTAAGATTAGCTAGTCATAGTTTCAGATTATTTAATTTAAATCTAGGTAGTTTGATTATAAAATAAGAATTTTTATTAAAATATCAGTTTAGGCATTAATTTATTTTATTAACTTAATGATCTAAATAGTGATTATATTTATAAGTATTCTAATAAACATTCAAATGAAGACAAAATAAAAAATTTAAATCTCGTCTTCTAAGTTGGTTTTTTTTTTTTAATTCATAGTAAAAATTTAATAACATAATTGTTATCAGAAACATAATACCATAGAGCCAACAATACAAATAGGCCCAACAAAAGAGGTCCAATAAATGAAGAAAGGGTTATCACAAACCAAATGGGTTAACATCTTACCATCCAGTGCCTAACCAAATTTAATCAAATTATAATAACATGTTGAATATTTTATAGTTACAAAAAATGTGGAAGTGTTTCAATTCACCCAAAAATAAACTTGATTCATTTTAATTTTGTTTTGGTATTTTGTTTGAACAAAAATTTTACATTTATAGTAATTTTCACAAAAATTTCATATTTATTGTGAAACTGATCTACATCGTGATAACTTGGGAACATATTATTTAATCTGGATAGTTATTTATGTTTTACTTAATACGACATTAGTTACAAAAAAGGAATTTGATAATTCAAACACCCTTATTTTAAGTTTTAAAAAAAAAACAAAAAAAAAAAAACTATCATCTCGTGCGCAAATCGTGCACGAAATCTTTTTTCACTGGTTTTGTGATTGTTGACGACGCATTAAGCTGACCTCTCGAAGCAGAGCATTCAAATCATTGTAAGACGAGCCGCCCTTTTCCACGGCTGCTCTCGCCATGTCCGCCATAGCCTTAGCTCTCATTCTCCTCTCCACCGCTTCACTTCCCACCATGATCTCCCTCACCGCCTGCTCAACTTTTTCTCTGCTCACGAAGTCCCCCTCCGACCTAACCCATTTCTTCACCCCAACACTCAACCCTATCTTCAGCACCTCCGTCACAAGCTTCTCGTTGTAAAATTGTTCTGCAGACACCGGCCATGTCACCATCGGCATGCCGGCGGTCACCCCTTCCAGCGTCGAGTTCCACCCGCAGTGCGTCACAAATCCTCCCACTGCTTCGTGCTCCAGAATCAACACCTGAGGCGCCCATCCTCGGATTATCAGTCCTTTGCCTTCTGTTCTCTGCTCAAATCCTTCAGGCAGCCAGTCCTCTTGGTTGTTTTCGTTTTTCTCTCTTCTGACCACCCAGATGAATTCCTGCCCGGAAGCGTCGAGGGCTGTCGCGATCTCCATTAACTGAGCTGAGTTGAAGTTGGCCATGCTGCCAAAACAGATGTAAATGACTGAGTTTGGAGCCTTCGAGTTCAGCCATTTCAAGCACTCGTCTTCGTCAATGGAAGCTCTCTTTCCTCTCTCTGCTTTGTCCTCGACGGTCTTGTTACAGAGCGAGACGGGTCCGATATGCCATGCTTTTCTCTTAAGAAAATTCCGGTAATGATCAGCGTAAGCCGGTTCCAGCTCGTAGAAGCTGTTGACGACGACTCCGTAGCTCTTAAGTTCGGATTCCTTGGCTTCCTTAATCAGCCTGTGAATCCCATTTTCGTCGCCTTCTTTCATTGCAAAATCCGCCAACTGGTTTCTCGTCAGTCTTATCTCGTCGGGGAGGGTTGGAACGAGGAAAGGTTCGGAATCAGAGGAAACGTTGTTGAACGGCGTGTACAGTCTGATACACTCCGACGCGGAGAGAGCGAAGAAGCTCGTCCCATGGAAAACCAGTCTCGGGATGTCGAATTTCGCGGCGGCATCAGTCGTCCACGGGAAAAACATATCGGCTATCAAGCAGTCCGGTTTAAATTCTTGCAGGAGCCTCTCAAGCGGGTCCTTGAGCATCCCCGCGGCAGCAAAGAATTTGTTGACAATGAGTGGTTCTCCTGCCGGGAGAGAGTCGGCGTTTTCGCATCCCGACGGCAAACCTACCTCGACGGACGGGAAGTTGAGGAGCTTGACGCCGATTTCCAAACCGGTTTGTTTGGAAAATCTTTCGATTGATTTAGAGAAGAAAGGGAGGTTCAGAGGAGTGGTGATAATGGATGTTTTTGCGCCATGGGTGGCGAATAACTTTGCCATGTCGAGTGTAGGGATCATGTGGCCATGCGCCATGAAGGGGAAGAAGAAAATGTTAAGCTGAGAATAATCATGATGAAGTACTTCACTACCCATATCAGAAAACTTTCTCTAATTTACAAAGGAAGAAGAAGAAGGAGCTTGAGAATGACTGAAATTGGACGAGGACAAACATGAATTTATATTGACAAGTTGGAGGGATAAAGCGAAATGGGGGATGACAAGGAGAAAATACATGGTTTCGAGAAAATGAAAACAAATTGAGTTGACTATGCAGACGTCTTTGCGTTCGTCATCGAGTCTGTTTTTTCTTTTTGCAGTATTTAATGAAGAAAAAGAAAAATAATATAGTAATAAGAGAGTGGTCAGTTGTTGCAAGAACTTGCAGCTTTCGTTATTGACAAGAAAATGAAAAGCTTTACTTTTGTAGATTGGATATACTTGACCTATTCAATTTTGTTTCGACAGTATTTATTGAAAGTTGGACATACTTTATTTTATCAGAAATGTAATTTGTCATCATCACGTATCTGCATACAGTACATATTACACCACTTCAGCAATGCTGATAAATTCGTTGAAAAAAGGAAGGCTTTTGCTTTAAATTGAATATATAAGAAGTAAGTAATCCAAATATAAATAATAATTTTTTGAAAGACCAAATTATTATAATAATAATAATATAGTACAAGTTCGGTCGATTTGTCAACATTTAAATTTCAGTACTACTAACAGGACTTGAAAGTTGAGGGCCCGAGTCAGTGGGAGAAATAGTTCTTTTTTTTTGTCTAAAAAAAAGAGACGCGCACCTGAAAAATGCATGGACTACATAATCACTTACGTCATTTAATTCAGAAAAGACAAGGACACATGAACCCACATCAAATAGTCGAAATCATGAAACTAGTATGATGTGAAATTTTCAGAATTTTCTTTTTAAATTTTGTTTGCCATAGGATAGATTGATTTGATTAATTAATTACTTAATTACAAGGTTAACATATTAAAAGGCAAAAGAATTTTACATAAAATTATATATTTTTTAAGAGATGGTAGTTTATACCTAAATTTGTTTAATCTCACTTTACTAAAATTTGATCTAATGTAGTTTTTTGGATTAAAATATAGATTAAGATTGAGATGAGTTAGAATTTAACCTTTCAAAACCCCTCTCCCAAAGTTTCTCCCAGATATTTCTCCATCTAATATCATTTTAATATAACTGTAAGGCCTTACAACTCTAGCAATCTCAAGAATACAAACACATTAATATTACATAAAACAAAATTAGTTCTACCAAGATAGTATTTTAAACCATCTTTGAAAAGATGGTGTTTTAAACTTGTTTTTTTTGGGTCAACATAAATTTATAAATTTTCTAAGAACGTTAGGCACAACAAGTAAAAGTCTAATTTTTTTTGCTTAGAAAAGAAAATGAATTCATAAAAGTGAATCAAACAGTGCTGCCTAATTATAAATGAGACAAAAGAACGTAGAATTTAGAAGTTAGTCAGTGAGTATATAATGTTCTCTTTTATTAATTACACAATCTTCCTATTTTACGTTTTTCTAGGAGGGGAGTTGACCCCATAATGCTTGTAATGAAACTCGTAACTTTCACTCCACAAGGAAAATATTACACCACTAAGTCACGAAGGAAGACTCGAGTCTGTCCTATTTCAGTTTTGAGTGCCTTTTTTCTTCTATCAATTTGAAAAGACGACAATTCGTAAACTATATTTTCAAACATTTCAATGGCTTATTTGTAAAATAAACATATTACTTCATACATCGTTTAAGAAAATTCATTTTAAGGTGAGTCAAATATCATCTTAAACTTCTAACAATAATATATAGATCAATTCTTAGAAGTACTAATATGTAATAAAAACAAACTGGACACTTGAAACTCCTCCATATGCTGTTAACTAATACAAACAACAAACACTTAGATTAATATTTTGCTATCAAAACAACTGGATTGAATAAAACCTGAATCCCATATTAGCACGGAAATACTACATAAATCCATTATATTGAAATCACTCATGTCATATCGAAGGTATGATCATTTACTTTTGCTTTAAATCATAACGGAACTTTATTAGGTTGTTTGGGAGTGTTTTTGTTACAAAAATTAAAATATAGACTAATACTAAAACATCTGACAGTTCTAAACGGAATTAAATTGGAAAAAGTGACTAAAACCCTTGTAAAGCTTTGAAACCCCCGTTCGTTCAATCCAAAAATTGAGAGTAGTTCATAATTTTCCCAACACTTCTACATTGATAAAATTATATATTGCCAATATTGTGCTATAATTCGCAATAATCCTTCTTGGAAGAAAAAGAAAAGAATAAACATAATAGATCAAGCACCAAAGAGGAGATAGTAAAGTTATCGGGCGAGAAGAAAACAAACCTCATGAAAGAAGACCATTGAAAGTGCATGCCCCGCGCCGCTGAATAATGTTCAAACTGCTAACTCACTTTTCCCACGTATTTATCTAGAAGCTCAAGGGCCGGGCCCTGTCAAGTCAAGGAAACACGTGATAATAAGAATTTAAACTTTTAAATGACAAACAAGCATACAAAAGACACTTAGCTGAACAAGAAAGAATATAATACATGAGAACTTTGATGTTAATGAAACTGGGTCCTGCTGCATCACTAGTAACAACCTTGAAAATCAATGTTTCGCTGCAGCAGGAGGTCGATAAAGCAAAAATCCTCTGCCGCATCAACCTTTATATTCCTGAAATTACAAAAAGTAAAAGTTAGTATAACATCCATTTTCTAGTTCAAACGCGCTCTGCCTTCCAGGAGGTGCAGCAAAACCAAGCCAACAATAAAAAGGTTATAGCTTGTGCCACTTACAACGTAATTTAGCATCTACGGAGTTACATCCATGCAGCAAAACTATAGTCAAATTGCTTCACCTTCCACTCATTTTCCTCTGCTATCATACTAATGTTCCTAGAGGGGCGCCCTTGAAATAAACTTTAAAAGCTATACTTCTTGTCACACCAAGGTCGTGCATTCTTCCAAATCTAAGGAACTTTTACTACATGAACAAACAATGCTTTGTATTGATTGTTTAATTTCATCAACCTATCAGCGAATGTTTAAGGGAGGAAAACAATGACTAACTCAGAGAGGTTTTGTGACAGATGCAATCAAACTTTACTGTGATCCTTATGGGACACTAGTTTTTTATATGTAAACACAGGTGATATCAAAATTCAACCTCTAATCTCAAGTAGAGATTTAATACTAAATTCCCAGATACTAGTAGCATAGTTACCATACACAAACAGATCATGAAATCAATTTTTTTGTTCATAAATTATCCAAGAATAGAAAAATCAAACCCAACAACCACCAGGCACCTCAGATCTCCAACAATCACTATATAGCAGTCTACACAGCACCACCAATTAGACTCAATGTACTCTAGCTATCCCATCCTCTAGGCTTCTATGGCTCACTTTAGCAGGTAATGCTTTTTATTAGTGGCCTCAGTAAGAAAAGAGATTCTTCATGTTTTCCTCTACCATTTTTTGGGGATTCTCTGCAGTAGTTACTTCATTTTACATTTAGCACTCCCAATAACTTTGATAAGCATGAACATAGCACATGCTCATGGACACACACATACACATAGAGCACGGAAAAAAAGAAAATTGTCATTATCAACAAAAAATTTTCAGGAAACTTCATTGTCCTAACTATGCAACGGTTAAATTGCTGACTTCGATAATCAAATCCACTGACACCTTCGCATTTAACATTAGATACGGCCGGAAATCCTTCTCTTCTAGAAGGTAGCAAGACATTCAGGAAAAACTGTCAGTAATTTGCACTAGCAATTTCCATAAATAAAAAAATAATAAATAAGTGTAGAGAATTAAGATATTCACCTGCTGCATTTTCTGTTGTAAAAGCATGCATAATGGAGTGTGCTACGCCAACTGTATTTTCTGTTGTAACAGCCAATTGTTTTGTTATTTTCGTTATCCATTTTTGGTGCTCCTTTTACTTTTTTTCTCTTCGACCTTCTTCTTAGATATATATAAGTAGCAATAGCCTTCTTGTATGGGGTGTAAAAAAATTATATATTTTAAATAGGAAAGTTTCTTGGTTCGACAGCTTACTTTGTTCATGGTATCAGAGCGCAAACGATCCAAATTGAGAGAAAACAAATAATTTTTAAGCATGGAGGGAATTATTAGCGTTGCAGAGACTGTGACAGGAAGTGTTCAAGGAGCTAGGCATAACAACGAAAATCCATTACTTCTTCAATCATCTGATCATCCAGGCATGATTCTTGTTTCCACTCCATTAAATGGGAACAACTATCTAGCTTGGAGTCGTTCCGTGAAGATAGCTATAGGAGCCAAGATGAAGCTGGGCTTCATAGATGGAAAATGTGCAATGTCAAAAGAAAGATAAGAGAATTTTGAAAAATGAAATAAATTGAACTGTATGGTAGAGTCGTGGATACTAAATTCCATTGCCAAGGACATTGTAGATGCATGCTTGTATATTGCATCTACAAAGGAACTTTGGCAGGAATTAGAGAGACTTGGAGAATGCAATGGTCCGTTAGTATACCACTTGCAAAGGGAGATTTCTTCCATTTCTCAAGGGAACCAAACAGTGGTTCAGTACTACACAAAGCTTAAGAAGTTATGGGATGAGCTGCAATGCTTGCAACCAGTTCTACAATGCAGCTGTTGAGCAGCTAAGCAGGTAATAAACTATAACTCTTCAAGCAAGTTGATGCAATTTTAATACTCTGAATGATGGATATAATAACATAAGAAATCAGATCTTGGTAATAAAACCATTACTTTCTGTGAACAAAGATTATTCAATGATTTTGAGAGTTGAAAAGCAAAAAGAAGTTAAAAATGTATACACAGATACCCTGGATAATATTGCTATGATAACAGTTAATAACAAAAAAACATGTCATGATGCAAAGAATTATCGCAAGGATAGAGGTGGAGCTAAGAAGACTGATAAATCTAATTTACATTGTCCACATTACAACTTTACTGAACACACCAAGGAAACATGTTTTAAGATCCATGGCATTCCTGATTCGTACAAAGACCTCATGAAAACTAAAGGGAAACAAGGTTTTAAACAGATGGTATATATGGCAGACATGGATACTGAGATCAATACTGACAAGGAATGAACAATTTCAGCAGAGATAAACAACTAGATTTAGGAACTGATTCAACAAGAAATGAGTAAATTTATTAAAGGGAAAGATATCACAGAGGGAGGTCTTGCTAACATGTCTCATTTCCAAGATTTTGCAGGTATAACTTCACACCATTTTGCTTTTAATATACTTGATCTATTGGAACCTGATAGCTGTATTGTGGATACAGGTTCCTCAAATCATATGTATAGTGATCTAAAACTCATTCAAAGACCAAATTCAGTCAAAGCTATTACTCTTGTTTTCTTACCTGATGGTTTAGTCAATATGGTGCATAATGTAGGAGATGTACATTTCTCTCCCAATCTTATTTTAACTTCCACTTTGCATATACCAGTTTTCCAATATAATCTACTATCAGTAAATAAAATTTCAGAAACCTTTTTGATTAAATTTGTTTTCTCTCTTAACTATTGCTTGTTGCAATGCCTACAGAATGAGAAAATCCTAGTTGTTGGAAGGGTGGTTGGGCGACTTTACATTTTGGATTCAAGGAGCATTAGTTCTGAGTTGATTGGTTATCACACAAATTTGTTAAAACAAAATAGCAATACTGTCAATTTAGTTCATTCTCTCCGCTGCACTTATATTGATTCCAACAACAAAAAAAAAATCAATTCAGTCCTTATCTCTTTGGTATAAAAGACTAGGACATACTTCCTCTTTAGCTTTGTCTCACTTACATTTTTTAAAAAATAAATTACTAGAGGTGGAAATATATTTTGAATATTATTTGGCTAACGTGTATAAGTTCATGCCACACGTTTAAAAACAAATTGTACTTTGTGAACTTTCTAGTTGGTAGTTGGTACGCTAATTAACTGCCAACTGAATTATAATAGTTAATTTATTTAATTATAAATATTATTTGAAACTTTAATTAATCGAACTATGGATTAAAGTTTTAATAATAATATAATATCAAGTTTAGTTTGTGTGTGGATAAAAACTTAATTTTATAATTATGAAATTAAATGTATGATTATAAATTATGTTTATAATGCATATTATTTAAACGAAAATATAATAATTTAAAATTTATGTTTACGTTTTCAAATAGTATTCCATATAATATTAAACTTAAAATGGAAAAAGAGTTCTCAAAATATTTTTTATTTTGATAAAATAATAAAATTAAATAATATTTTTAACGCGTAATTATTATTTTAAATAATAAAATTTAATTATTGTATAATATTTTTTTAATACAAAATATAAGTTTATTAAGACTTATTTTAATTTGAAAGGTTTTTAAATAAATGTGATTAAGAAGTTTTGTCCTGTAGAAGAACGAAGTCATAAACTGATCACTCATTGAAAAAAGAAAGTCATAAATTCATACCAAGCATTGTTTTTTCTTTTTAAGAATATTTTTCTATTTAAACCATAAATTTAAGTCAAATTAAGCTATGGTCAACGTTCAATAATTTTGGAAAGCCAATTTCATTTTTATTTTTCTTTATATTTGTACGGTGTAGATTAATCTTAATATAAATTAAATTTGTTTGGGATATAACATAATTTTTAAGTTTTAAAAAATAGAACTATAAAATATTAATGTATAAAATTTAATGGTTTTGAGATTAAAACATAATTTATAAAACGTTGGTGCTAATTTTTTATTGAGGGAATAATATATTATGTAATATCCGGATTTGAAAATTTAGTCCGAAATAATTTAATATTAATAGAATAATAAATTAAAATAATTTAATTTTTTATTTTTTTGTGAATTTTTTAAGAAAATTGAATTTTGGATACATTTGAAAATTATGACAAAAATATAAATAAGAGATGACATATTTGAAAAGAAATCTGAAAATTTAAGATAAAATAAAATTTATGAAACTTTGGCTACGTAAACCGCCATGTCAGCAGCGCAACCAGTCTCTGTGCGCCATGTGGCAAACACGTGGGCACGTATCCACGTGGGACGATCTGTGTGCCAACGGATCCAGTGACCCATATTTGTTTCTCCTTCAAGCGCGATCAAACGGTTTTGATTTCATATGATTGTGCGATCCAGATCCATTTTCCAAATAGAATTGATCCAACAGCTGAGGATGGGTCACGTCTTTTCGAATGGACGGTCCGAATTTAATGAAAATGAATATTTAAACTCATTTTCCATATGAAATCCTAACCCTAGCCGCTATAGATGAGATTGGAGAAGAAGAAGAGGGGCTGTCGGAAAGCGAATCAGTAGCTGAAGAAGAAGACCGCCCACCGACGTTGCTACAACAGAGCCACCACCGACGTCGAAAATGTATTTTTCCCCCCTTCTCATTCGGAATTCAATTATAAACCTTCTCACAGTCATATCGGAGCTAAAAGACCAAAAGGTAAGCCAAAAAATGCGAGCAAAGCTTGGCCGAGCCGCGACAGCCAAGACCCAAAAACCTATTCGATGAGCCCTTTTTTGTTTCCTATTTTTCTCAATTTTTTTACCTTCGTGTTCCTTATCTCATTTTGTTGCAGGTTGGCCGAAGAGAAGCCCCGACTACGAGAGAGGAATGACGGAATCGCTGCACCAAAAAACTCCTTCACTGATAAGGTCACGGTTCTTCCTTTTTCGACCAATAAGGGCTCTCTAACCCTATTTTTTGAAGGTTTCTATGCAAAACTTGTCAAAATCAGTCAAATTTGGTAAAAAACGGCCAGATCAAGAAGAAGTGTCACTGTGGGCGGTGGAGCTGACACTAGAGCATGGCGACGCTGCTGTGCCGAAACCCTAAACCAACCAAAAAAATTTAAAATGCTTATTTTGGCATTTTAGGGTATTTTGGAATACGTAACGCATATTTTTTTTCTGAAAAAAAAAATCAAGAAATCCGAGAATCGTCAGTAGGCACAATAAAAAAGATAATATTTCGAACACCGACCCGGGATAAAAATATCTCACTCATTTCTCCCCTTATGGTAAATTAAAGTTTAATAATAAATAACGATGTGTTTTGTAAATATTAAAAATCTATAATTAATTGAATACATGTCACTAGCAGAGTTAGTGATCGATCAATGTATATTTGTCATAATTGTGTTGTCTATTTATTCTTATACTGCTTAAATTGCTACTAATTATTGATTTTAATTGTTTTATCGTTCATTGATTGTTTGGTTATTATTATCGTCTATTGACTGATTCAAAATAAATGTCCTAATCATGTTTTCTTAAAATTCATATTGTCTATTTGCATGTTTTATTATTGATCTATAAATATAAAATGTTGGTATGTGATTTGTGACTGGTTGATGGTATAAATACGTGAATGAAATGCTTATCGGGTACCATGGGGAATGGTATACAAATCTGGTGCATAGGAAAAATCTTACCGTAGATATTAACTCAGTCGAACGAAGTTGAGAAGTCACAAACCATAAGGGGTTGGCAGGTATAGTTCACCCTTATACCGGACGGGGTACTGAGGTAGTGACATGTTTGGGCACCCATTACCAGATGAGGTATGGAGACGACTGGTTAATTGGTAAATTGAATAATAAGTCCACGCATAGGAAAAATCAATATTGACTCCCAATAGTACTGGTAAGTGGGTAATAATGTAAGTTTATTGTTATTGTTCATTTAAATATGCAATAAAATATTATCATATTTATTGTTTTCATAAACCAGTTTTGAAAACTCATAAAAATAAGTATGAAAATAACGGTTCTTATGTTAAATGAATTTATTTAAAAATAAATAATGGCTCCATTTATTTTTTTTTATTTTTACCAACTTTTAGTTTTATGTATTAGTGTTAAGTGTGATATTTTTACTGAGTTATGTAGTTCATCTTCTTTATTTAACAATTTCATATCATAAAGACTAAGATCCAGATCCTGAATAGTAAAAAATTTGTGAATAAACGTTATCTCTCATATCCAATCAGAGTTATCAAGCAGAAGTTAACCCTATAAGATTTTTAATTATTATTTATTTATTTATTTATTATGTTATAAAACTTTTGTAAATGGATATTCCCATAACCCTATCGAGCATCCCGATTTATTATGTAAAGAATGTAAATCATAACTTCTTAATTGCTTCTGCCATCACTATATATATTAATTTCCTTAAAATTTTGAACTTTTACATATTAATTATTAAATAATAACAAGGATTGAAAATATAATAATGTAATGTTTATTTAATAATCAAACTTAATTGATAAATATAGTTATCATATGTAAAATTAATTATTAGTTTATAATAAAAAAGTAAATTTAAATCGATACATAAATTTTAAAAACTCATTTGACTTATTTGTTATTTCACATAAATTAAGTGATACATAGGGAATTGTCCTTCACATAAAATTTTCACTTTGTTTAATCTCCTAAGTCAATTTATTTATTTATTTTTTAAAAAATTAAGAAATAACTACCTAATCAAATTGAAATAAAATTAAATATATAAATCAAACTTTGTATTATCAGCTTTATGAATAATACATTGTAATTGAACCTACTTAATATAATTAGTTCGAACTTAACATAATATATATTAGATATTTTTGTTGAAATGTGAGTTTGTTCTTCATGATAATATATCGATTAGAGTTCGATAAAATCCATCATAAACTATTTTTAATAAATCTTATTTATTATATGATAATAGTTACTTAAGTGATGAAATTTGAATTGATCATTATAGTTATACTAAAAGATTTATAACTTAAATTATATATTAATTAAATAAAATATTATAAATTAATAATATCTAACTAATAATATATTTATAAAGTAACAAATCATATATAATGGAACGTTAAAATATTAACTATTTTACCACCTTGTTTGTTAAATGGATGATATACGTGTATCAAATTTGATATATATATATATATATAATACATATTTATGAATGCAATTATAAACTAAGGTCTTTCTGCCGAGCCCACGATAGACCAGGCCGTGTAGCCCAGTTAAATTTTATTTCCGTGCGGTCCGGTCCGGTAGAATCTGGCACATGTCAGCACATGCTCGAAGAGCTCAGTTCATGGTAAAACGACACAGTATTGTATCGGAAGGAACCAAAACTAAACTAAAGAGAGACGTAGCAAAACAAAAGCCGCGAGGAGGTTTGATGCGTTTCTGATTCTCAGCAGTCCAGGCGGAGCGAGAAACCTACATCCATCTTCTTCACCAATCTCCCTTCACGTCCTTCTCGATGGTTCTTCATATATTCATCAACTCTTCCATGTGACGACGTAGTTCCGCAGACTAGTTTCTACAGTTTTGTTTATATACTGGCACGTCACTCTCCATGGCTCTTCCCCTCGGAAAGTTAACCATCCTCGTCGGTGCAGGTCCGCTTAATTCCTATCACTTTCTCGGATTTTCATGAAATTTATACATACTTCAGAACTGGATTTTTACATTTGCGTTATTTGTGCGAGTTTAATTATGATATTGGTGGAATAAGAGTTTTCTGACCAAGTTGAATAAGCATTAGACGGTGATTATATGGTTCGATCATTCTTTTTCTTTCTCGTTAATACGTTAGTTGCTTCAGCATTTTTGTGGTTACTGAGGTGTTGATAGTTAAGGTTCATGTTAATTCAGTTTTCTTTTTATACTGGAATACTAGTGCTAAAGTACACGTAAGGGGGAGGCTATAGAAGTGTCCGAGAATGCTCTAAAGAGGTAATAATGGGAGAAGACAGAGGGAGTGTACTAGTTATCTAGATGAAATCCTAAATGAAAGAGGAGAAAAAGTATAGGTTTTGCAAAAAGCTAATTTATAATCTGCAGCATGAGAGCTATTGCATGTTTCAAGACTATAGGTAATTTAGTTGTCTGCTTACAAATATGGATATCATAGACTGATAGATATAAAACTAGAAGTAATCTAGTAGAGGGATAACCAGGGAATGAAGGGTCAATGTTGCCTACATTCTACAGCTAAAAAAATATGGTTATGTCGGTATATATGTATTTTTTATTGTTACTTTTACATGTCTTTTACAGCATTTATTGTTTCAGATTTATTTATTTTTTTGGAATCAAGCTTCCTTTCTACTGGGGTATTTTGATATGAAAAGATGATTTTGCTGATCCAACTTGTTATCTTATGTCTTTTAGGTATTGTTGGATCTGTTATTGTGAAAGAAGGGGGCATTTTTAATGTTTCTGATTTTTTCTCAGGGGTGTTTAAGGTAATTCCATGAGTAAGAATTCAGTATAGTTTCAGGAGTTTCAAACTCCCTGAAGTTTGAATTTAGTTATGTGTTTCCATTTGATAAGAGTAACAGAATTGTTCTCTCTCTCCCCTCCCCTCTCTGTCTCGAGTCCATCATATGCTATCCACCATGTACACAATCGAATAATATATTTCCTTCATTTTTTCTTGGGAAAATGAAACCTTAGATTTTTCGGAAGTTTGCATTTTATGACAAATATGTGCATTTCTTTCTTTTGTTTGATACCTTGTATTTAGGATCTTGTGGAGGTCTTCTTTATTTATCTAATTTTGACTTACATATTCGATTATTCTGTAAGATTTATAGAAGAACCTTGTGTCTGGTTTTTACTCCACAGATGCAGTAATGTGGCCTTGGTCACCAGAAGGTCCCCATTTTTTTTTAATTATTGAAGTAGTTCTAGCTTAGACATTGCAGTTATTATTTTTTTCTCCCTTTTAAAAGATGTAACAGTATTAGAAAGATTCCATAAAGTATTGGTGGATGTCTCATGTTTCCAGACATCCTTACCTTATAGTTAACAAGCTTATTTTCAGTAATATTGGGAGATTAGGAAACTTTTTTTGCTTGTAGTATTTTCTGTATGGGATGGAAGGAATTTTGTTACTTGAGTGGATGTTTGGTATGAGATCCAAAAACTTTTTATGGACTTGTACTCCCCCATAGGTCATAACTGCAAACTGATAAGTAAACTTATGGAGCAAATGGGAGGAGAGTCAGTGGGCTCATGAAGTTTGCTGAAGAGTATAAAATTGGAAATTTGATGGATTGATGCTTTGTCTAGTTTTCTTTTTCTTTCTGCTTTTGCTCTACATCTTCCAATTCTACAAGAATTTCTTTCATATTCGTGTATTTTATTTCAGTGATGCATTGGCAGATTACCTTAATGGCCTGACTCTACAATGTTGTCTATATTTTGTCATAATGTTTTATCACTCATTACAGATTGCTTTTAGGCAACTTGGACAGGATGATTCTACTTCATCAGTCCGCAAGCCTCTAGCCAATGACTCTTTGATGGCTCAGGTGTGAATTGCTCTTCATACGTTGACTGATACTAGTATGTTATTACTAGCTCTTTGGGACAGGATGGATGACATTCTCTTAGCTGTTAAAACAGCTTTGCTAACATATTTTGTCTAGGTTGGAATATGCCTTCAAAATGATGAAATGTGTTTAGGCATATCTTTAACCTTTTTTTTTTGGTTGTGTTTCTACATGAAATTGTGTCGTTTTAAATGTACATATCTTTGATTCGCATAATTCTGATGGGTTGGTTGACAAACATATAAAGTTAGCAATGAACATTTTGAGGATTTCTACAAAAAACTGTGCTTTCTTCATGTCAAAATGTAGCTGATTAGAGGCTTTAGGTTTTTCAAAGCTCCTTTATGTGCTAGATTTGGCATTTGAGAAAAAATATACAGGTTTATGCGGCTACATTGAAAAGGAAACTTTGATAAAAAGATCTTATTGATGTGGAATTCTAAAATGACATTACGTTAGCATGTCATTTGAGTTTTCATAGCTTTGCAATTTGTGTCATGGAACGGATCGTTGCAAGAGATTTATTTTTTTAAATTTGGCTACTATTGGACTTCAAATAGATTTTTGGAAAGTTATATTAGAAAAACCTTGAGCTTTATACACGTTTACAACTTAAGCCTTCATATTTGATTTGAATAATTAAACCCTGAGATTTAAGATATAAAACAAAACAACCTCTTCATCTGAGCAAACTTGCAGAGGGTCTCTGATGGTGATTTAGGCAGTGAACCACCTTTTGACTCCTTTTCTCCCTGCTATATTTTCTCTCAAACTCCATCTGCGACTGTTCACTAGAGAGAGATTTGAAGAGAAAGAAACTAACACTTTACCATTTTGATCTGGCAGATTTTGGTGGAAGATGCTTTGATGACTTTTGAATCTGGAATCAATGAGGTGGCACATGTTTCCTTGTGCCATCCTACATAACTTGATGATGACAGCTAACAGTATTTCCTTACATAACAACAGATTGATTAAGGCTTTTAATTTATATCAATCTATAAACTCAAGGTTTTAAAAAAAATGTTTTTCGGCAGAATTTTTTTAAAGAGTTTATTTGAGAATTACAGTGGCAAAGTTATTTAAAAAGAGAATCACAGTGGCAAATGGTCTAAAATGAGAAATGACGACAGATTAAGAGGTTGAAAGTTGTAATTCTAAGAAATCTACTTGTTTGGTTGCTGACTCTTGATTCTGTCCAAATGGTCATGCTAGAACTAGAACAAGGAATCTTGTCAAATCTAGAGAATATGTTAGTTTCACAGTTTCATACAGCTATGATTTCAATGTCCTACTGAGTTGCTACTAATGATTGAGAAAAAAATGTATTTCAGTGTTAAAACCTTAAAAGAATCTCTTTCTTGGATGGAAACTGCAAAACAGATGGTAATCTCCACAAAGAAATGCAGAGACAGTTAGTCTTGATAATTTGTCTCATGAACGATCTATGATTGTTCTCATCTTTAGTTCGTTTTCCCAAGCTGCAGATGATTGTTTTTTTTTTGTGATGCAATTGTAAATGATTGTTAAGTGTTATCTTGCAAATTAATTTCTTTTAAGTCTTTGAATATGCTTTTCATTTTTGGAAAAATGACCATTATTACTTGTTATGCTGCAAACTTATATTAGAATTTGAAAATGCTGATCTAAATTTCACTTTTTTTTCTCTTTTAGGTTAACAGTCTAAGGCAGGAGCTACAATTGTTGGCATTAAACAGGCCAGTTACAATTGTTACTACCCATGGAACAGGTTTCTTTAACTTTTATGTGTTAAAGGAAATAACTGTAATCTATGATCTTTTGTACACCACAGATATGCTAATTGATATGAATTTACATTTTCTATTATTTTTTCGCCTTTAACTTGCAAACACTGATAAGAATGGAGTTGAAATCATTTTATATAGTTACTGCTGATGTTCTTACAGTCTTGCATGGTCATTATTGGTATGTAGAGTTTTCTCACAATAAGATTTCTGAAACATGGCAGGTGATGAGATGAATATTGATTAAGTTCTTTGGTTCCTAAGTTATGGCTAATGATTATTTTTCCCCTGAATATGCATGTCCATGTTCTGCCTATGCAGTTACTAGATGACGTAAAAAATATCTTGGATCACTGTCTTCTTTTCTCATAACATGAACTGACTTCTGGATGGTTAGGTTTTATTGGATCACTGTCTTTCACTGACTTCTTATAATTGGGTTTCTCTTGGATCACAGTCTTTGTTTCTCATAACATGAACTGAATTTTATATGGTTAGAACCACTAGTTTCAGATTCTTAGTTAATGGCAATTACAGTTTTGAATGAGTGTGTACCAGAATCTTGTACGTCAGTGGTATCCTGCTATCTGTGAATAATTCCTTTTTCCAGAAAAAATTGACGTGATTTCCTTTCTAGACAGCAGGAATCTTAGTTCTATATTCTTTTTTCAAAAATTGTCTTCTGACATATCATTTTCATGACTTTGGAATTGGTCATGGAATATCCTTATTGCAGGTGGTAGAAAATATGGCGTAGTTATTGTTTTGGTGGTGGTTGGATATGGCTATGTATGGTGGAAGGTAATGATCTTGGATAGTGTACAATTGAAGAAATTATGAAATAAAGGACATTCCTCGGTGGAAATATGATGAGAATATGCATGTTTTTTGGATTTTTAATGTTTAAAGTCATAATTCTTTTGACTCATGTTCGGATTGAGAGGGGTGAGAAAAAATGAATGGGAAATGAGCCATCTCTTTTTTCTTTGCTTAAAAAAAGGTGGGACAGGGAAAGATGGTGAATATCTCTCTCTTTCGTTTTAACAATTTATTTTTTACTTTCATCTAAAGTAGAGGGAGAAAAGGTAGGAGAGGAAATAAAAATTTTCGAGAACTTATCATCTGTTTTATCCTCAAAGTACCTAACATACTATTTTTTTAGTAAAGGGTGTAACTAAAGTATTTATCATTATCTATGATTTCCTTTCTTTTTTCCAAACCTTAACCAGACAAAGGATTGCAGCAATTTTCTTGATTCCTTTCCTTTTCCATGTTTTATATGCAAACAAAAGATTACACACTTCTTTTTCTTTCCCTTTATTTCCTTTCATTTCATTTACTAATTCTATCCAAACATGGTTATAAGAGTTTATAGCTTACCGTTCTTTTAAAAGAAAAAAGAGTTAGGCCCTTACTCTTACCCATTAGACCATCTAAACTGTAATACTTGTTTTTGTTGTTTTATGAAAATATAATTTAAAGAAATTTCATGTTGTCATCTTACTTCTTTTTGGCGGAGAACTTGTCATTCCTCTTGTTGGCTAGTCCTCTCTGTTTCTCTTCTCCCTCTCCCCAATAAGTCTCGTGACTATATATAAGAGCCTATTCCTAACCAATCTCTTCTCTTCCCCTCTATGTTAGTCTCCATCGGCTGACAATAATTTGCATTTTCCTTGAATGTCACAGGGGTGGAAACTTCCTGATTTCATGTTTGCAACGAGGCGTAGTTTGGCTGATGCATGTGATTCCATAGCTAAACAGTTGGAGAGTGTTTACTCATCAATTTCGGCAAGTTCTTGATTTACCGTTATCCTTAATGCCCTCTAATAGTTGTAGCTCGCATTCTCAATGCAAATGATAATATTTTGTATAGAAACAGAGTCATCTCATCGTATTTTTTGTTCTGTTTTAGATGCTAATCCAGTATCTTTTTGTTTCTTTTACTTATTATCTGACTAAAATGATTCTCTTGCTTTCCAAGGTATTAATGGAGGATTTTGCTTGGTCAGTGAAATGTTTAGCTTCTATTCTATTGTTGATGAATATAGTGTTTTCTCTCAAAGAAAAGGACAATTATAGTGTGTATAATTGTCAAATCAAAGAGAAACAAAATTTATTCGTGGTAGTAACGAATTTGATACCTTATTGTAAACAACAAATTTTGCCTTTGTCACGTCTAAGATTTATGAAGTGCTACATTATCTCCTCTATATGGTGATAACAAAAGAGGTTTTCTTTTTGGTATGAGCTTTGAGTTCTAATGGCAGAATTATTATTCCTTGCACTTTGCTTTGTGAAATTCAGACCTGTGGTTTTTCATATATCAAACTGGTTTTAATTTCATATCAAATTATATTCACATTTTTATGGAGTACATGTACAACAATGAAAATTTCATGTTCTAAATGGTTTTTCAGGTTGCAATGTAATAAGAGACATTCTTTTTTCTTTTTCTGTTTTTCTGTAATAAGGTTACATCTTAAATTATAAACATAAAAATTAATAGACTAATGTTTCTAATGTTGTAAATAAAATCCCGGATACGAGACCATCTTGGAATGTTGCGAAAGCATGCTCTTCTAGGGCTAAGAGTACTCTCCTAAGTCATTTCTGGTATAGGTTTATTATTTCCTATTGCATTAGTATTTCTATTTGTTTGCTACTTCCTACTTACAGAACTGTTCTCATGATTGATATCTTGCCAATCCTGTGATTGTGTATTGATATTCTTTTTTACTTTTATCTTTTATCTTTTTCATGTTCTCTGTTCTATTTCACCATGTCGATTCCTTTGCAAGCATCGGAAAATACAAACATTTTGTGGAGAAAATCAGTACTTCTACATCATATGAAAAATTGAGTTCTTTGTTCAAAACATGCTTGTTGTAACCTTTGTAGAAATATACTGCAGGTATACTTTAGTTTGTGGAAATTTTTTTCCAGCGAATTCACTTTAAAATTTAAATTGACTCAGTGCCATTTATATCCGATGATTGCCCTCTTTATTCCAAAATTTGTCTCTATGAAGTTCTTCTAAATTTTCCAGGCTACAAGGCGGCAACTGTCATCAAGAATTGACAGAACAGATACTGGTTTGGATGAAATTGAGGGTATCACTAGAGAAACGGGGAGAGAGGTAGGTAGTGAATATATTGGTTTGTAAAATTAGTCATTTGATTAGCTTTTCAAGTTTATTCACTGAAAAGACTCTATCAACCCGTTCAGGTTTCTGAACTACGAGAAGGTGCAGCAAGAATTGGGGAGGATGTCAGGTCTGTTCGTCATGTAGTTGAAACTCTGGTGAGTAATTCGTTTTTATATCTATAGCACATTCATATGCCTGCCTTCTTGACATGAATAGGGCCAACTCTGATTTACTTATAATTTTTACAGGAAAGTAAAATTAGTCGAATTGAAGGGAAGCAGGTAGGTTTTTATAGAATAGCATTGCTCCACATTGTTATGAATGATGCTCACATTTTGTTAATGAATGGTTTGTCTGTACTGGTTTGTGGTAATTCTTTGGCCTGTTTAGGATTTGACGACACAAGGAGTAAAGAGGTTGTGTGATTTTGCCCAGAATCTGGAACAAAGTAGAACTGCAGAGCGAAATCAGGCATGTACCAACGTATATGCTTGAAGAATTTATCTATATAACATACATGTTTCTTCTTTTCAGTGTAAATGTCTCCATATTGGACTTGCATGTTTATAAATTATCTGCTGTTATTTGTCAATTACTTAACACTTTCCTATAGCTTTTTAGTCCATCCATCGCCTAGTCATGTTACTTGGAATCAAAAAATTCATTACATCTTTTTTTTTTTTTATCTTTTAGTAATTTTGCCATGAGTCTCTGTTTATGCTTGGTTTTACATCCTCAAATTCTCAAGTTTTCTTTTCAGCTTATTTGATGAATGTTTATTTCTTACTTTCTAACTTCGGCTGAAACCTGTAGGCTTCTCTATCAAGTTCATCTAGGCCAGCTCTTGAATCAGCGCCAGTGACGCCATCATCGAGGGTAAATCACACCTCCTATTCCTCAACGGTCTACGAAGTTAAAAAAATTGATATTTTAACCAATTTCAAATCATTGTCTAGAAATGACAAATGACACTATTGACCTTCTTTGTTTATCCTAAATACGAAGTATTTCAATTTAGATCTTAGGCTAAATTTATCTGCTGCTAACCAAATATGGACTGGGCAGTTCCTTGTCGATTGGCTGACTGAGAACTTTGACTTTCTACAGAAATGGAAATCTATATTCTTTGTATTAAAGAAGGCATCCTCTTATCTTTCCTTATCTGATCTTTGATTTGGTCAAATTTTTGGCTAAACTAATTAATTTTGCTAACAAAACTGCTTGTGTTCTTGATATGATCATGTTCCCTGTTCTTATTGATATTTTTTTTAATCACCAGACTGTGTCTTTGGCTCCTGTTTCTCCACGAGAACCAGAATTATCATCTGCTTCAAATGGATCTCAAAAGGTTTGTTGACTTGCAATCCCACCATACTGCTAAGTTTTTGAATGGTTGAAGAGCAAGGAGTTGGGGTTCTTTATTCTGCATGGCTTCTTTTTCACTTCAATCCATTCACGAGTAAAAAAGATTATTGATCTTCTGCATGGATGGGGAATATGGTAGAAAGCATATTTGGTTTTAGTAAATCTGATAATTTCTTTAAGTTGAAAATGCCCTCCGCGGCTTCCTCACTTGGCTGCTCATGCTGAGCACTCCCTCTGTTATGGAGTCTTGATCCTCCTGGATGAGTGGCGGAAATAACTAAACTGCTTCTTAGTCATATTATGCTAGCTATATATCAAAAGAATCAGAAAATGTTCATGTATCTCTTCCCTAACAAGTTGGTCCCCGCAGGTTAAGCGACCCCTTCAACATGTTCTGTCAGCATCAGGACTAAAGGTTAAATGTGATCTATACATATATAATTCATGTTCATTTATCATGCATCTTTTGAATCTCAATGCTTAGTGATTTGATTTCAGGATGTGGGTGGTGAGTTGCCGAACATTCATGAGGTTTCCGATGGGAACCATACTCCGAAAGAGACAGTCACCGAGTCCTCAAGTTCTTGTCTCTTTGGGATGAGATTTTCTGGTTTTAGTGCTGCACGTATAATGAGAACGCGAAGCGCATTGAATGCTTTGCCGCCGCATTTAACTTCAGCTAGACAGGGATAGCCTCCTTTTTGTGCATCAGAAAACCATTAAGATTTTTCTTTATTGTAGCCGGAATCCAACCCTGTTTGGAAGCAGGGCGTGGTCAGCGGCTACCGCCTAAGTTTCTCCTTCAGAATGCCGAGAATGTCCAAATTTTCTTTAGTAGAATACAGAGTGGGTACCGAATTTTTGTAGAAATGCTGCATATGTTAGAAAGAGGTTAGGGTATGTTTAGAAGAAAGAAATGGCTGTCATTACAGAATTTACTTATAGGTTCTTATTTTGTTCTTCTTAAATGTCAATGCTCGCATTTAATTTAAATTAAGTAAACATTGCAAAAGCAATCAATTTATTATAAACATATGCTTAATTTTATATGATTCTTTTATATGATGAACAATAATACCAAGTATTGCTTTACATTTTTGTGAGATTAATTTCAATTAGTTTAAATGTTTTTCCATCTTCTTGGTATATAATTCTCCCAAAATTTTCAAGAAAATTTCATTCCTAGATTCCCACCAGTGGAATTTTCGACTTGACCCAGGAGTTTCAGACTTTTGATTCCGAGTCGAAATTTACTTTCGGTCAACATTCGGTAACCAAAACTCGAATCCAATTCCAGCCATGTTCATTTTTCTTGTGCCACTTTTAGTCCCTCTCCACGGGGAGATTCATATTCGCTTTATGTAACTATCTTTTTGCATCAGGTAAAAGTCAAATCTCCTCGTAAAATTCATAGTCCGCGATAGTTATAGTTTTAAATCAAATGTTTAGTGCCAGCAAAAACTCTTGTAATCATGTTTGAAAGGAGTAAATTACATTGATTCCAATCTCTATTCTTATTCAATAGAACAAAAGCTTTTACTAAATTGCTTTAGCAGAAGTTACCTCTTGTGTAAAATTTGATTTGAGAATGTATTAACCACCGAGTGAAATTTAGCACACGAGTGGTTACAAATGATGAATATGATACATTCTCTTGCGATTAAAATTATTCCGATAATAATATAATAATTTTATTTTAATTGAATGGATTTCAGTACGCGTGATTTAAAGTATATGTTCCTTAAATTTTATTTTTTTTAATTTAAATGATAATACGAGTTCGTTATAAAATAAATAATTCGATTTCAGATTATTTAAATTTTATTTAAAAAAAATTAGGTGTGGATTAGAAGTCAACTAGATGATTTTAATTCGTTTTCGAATTTATCTAATATAATTTTTCGTATTTTTTACTTAAATCTTTTATTTAGTTATAAATTTTATATAAAAAAATAATATATAAATTAAATTATTTTTTAATAGTTAAAATTAATTTTTTGAAAAGACATATGATTTAATGATATCAATTTATCTTCATATTGATTAAATTAATAATTTAATATATTTTTAAGATTCTTTTTAACATTTTTTTAAAGTACATTGTAATATAGGTTAAATTAGTGCTTATTTAACGCATTATCTACTTTTGTTCAGATTAGTTTTTATAATTATTTTTAGTTAAATTGATTTATATATTTTTTAAAAATTTTGATTTATTCTACACCGTTAATAAAAATTAACATCAGTTACTTAGAGTTCCACGTAACAAATTCATTTGACACATGAAATTTTTATGTTGGTTCAAATGTTAGTTAAATATCACGTCATATTCTATTTAATATTAAAATATAAATATAAATTGACATAACTCTTTGACTAGTTCCTCGTCAATTGGAAGGTTTGAATCGGACAATAATGACAGTGGTGGAGTTGATTCAACTAATTAAGGAGGAAGAAGAAGAAGATAAGTTAAGTCACCACTACAGTAATTTCCCATTTGGACATCCCGGTTAAGGAGGAGTTGGCTAAGGAGCCATATGGAATCCCATAGTCGTCATTTTTTTTAGTTATCATCGTAACGATGTTTTTTTTTTAATTTATGGATCTGTTTAGACCAATTCACATCCACATTTTTTTAAATATTATGTTAAATGTTTCATAATATTCAACTAATACTTATACCAATAAAAAAAAATCATATATTAATAAACTTATGTTCTAAGTTAATAATATTAGCTTTTATTAACGATTGTAACAAAATTAAATTTTTTTTAAACATATAAAGATTGATCTGACTGAAAATTGATGTATTGATTTTACCTTATAATATATGTTAAACTTGTTATAATTAAGAATCGAAACTTAAATCTTTATTTTAAATTAAAACTCAAATAATCGAAAACTAAACTCTATTGATTTTTTGTTGATATTGCTATTGAGGATAACGAGTTTATGCTCATTCCTTTTCAAATATTGTTCGTATGTTAAATAAAAACTATATATTTTTAGAGCTTATTTTTTTAACTCGTGATTATTATTTATAAATTTTTAGACACTTGTTAAGTTAATTTGAGAAAGAAAAATTAAATATTTTCTATTTTTTTTTTACTTTTTATTATTTATATTTATTTATTTTTATAATTAACTAAAAACATTAATTATGTTCTAAAACAGGCTACGAACATAAATTCGATGAAAACAAATTACTCGAATTTCCACGAGCACACAGAAAAAAATTTAAAACAACTTCACGTGATTGTTAACGTTACTAGTCGTGACGGTTATATGTAAATAACGTAATCATTTTCCGTTTCATCTTTTTAAACGTTAAAATTTATTATTTTTTTAAAGAAAAAAAAGCTTGAAACTTAATTGCGAAGTTAATCTTTTTTATCTATTAATTACTTAATTGTTAAGTTAAAATTAAGTGATAAAAATGTGAATAATAATTTTAATTTTAATCATATAATAGAGAAGTCTTTTGGATTTACAAAAAAAAAAAAAAAAAAAAAATGGTTAAGTAAATTTCAATTTATTCCGAGTCAAATTCTTCAAACCGATTTTAGCGGGTAAAGTAACAGTCAAATTTACAACTCAAACAGTACATTTTTACGCACACTTTACAGTAGGTGTCACGCGCGTCACGCGATGAGACTGACGCGTGGGCTGGCCAACTCCCACACAGCCTTAAACCTCATCGCAACTGACATTTTAACTTCACCCGCAACAGCACCGTTCACATTTCTCCTCCGGTGGGTCCCACATCAGACCCCACCTCAACTAAATCCAACGGCTGGATTTCGTCCTCACACCATCTTAGGGTTTACACCGAAGGTATTCCCATTCTGCGATATATATATCGCCTCTGTTTCGTACTTAACCCTTCTCTTTCGTTGCAGTTTATCTGCTCTTCGTCCCTGGAAATTACTCGACCCCAGTGTCAGTCTATCACGCGCCGCCGCAGCGCTCACCGCCGGCAACAATCCCGTTCGTTTCCTATCCCTTCCCTCTCCTCCACTAAAACCCAAAAACAAAAGGAAAAAACCTCTAAAGACGAGATATTTATCCTTTATTATCCCTGTTTTTTGCTGTCATTTTCTAGCTAGGCTTTGTAGCTCTGCTCTGGTTTTCTATCTTGGTTTCGTATTTATTGTGTATCGAATAAGAAGAGGAGAGGGAAGAGAAGAGAAATCCCAAAAATAGAAAAATATTTATTCTAGGAAAGAGAGAAAGGGTTTGCTTCTCTGAGGAAATGGCGCAAGTTCAGATTCAGGTGCCAGGCCAGAATGCGAACGGAGCTGCGGTGGGGAACCAGTTCGTGACGACGTCGCTTTACGTCGGCGATCTGGACGTGAACGTGACGGATTCGCAGCTGTACGATGCGTTTAATCAGGTGGGTCAAGTCGTTTCTGTTCGGGTCTGCAGGGACTTGACGACCCGGAGATCGCTCGGTTACGGCTATGTTAACTACAGCAACCCACAAGATGGTAAATTGCTCTTGACTCCGGTTGCTGCTCTTCTTATATCAAGTTTGATTGATATAATAATTAATTAATATATTTTCTTGATTAACTCGAACAGCTAATTTCATGTGCTCAGTACTTCATAAATTTATTTGTTATTAAGATTTAGGGTTTATATTGTGCTTGGATGTTTTGGAATTGTACAATGTGGAATATGGGTTATTGATGGAAATTATTTGGTAGTAATTAGGGTTCAAAGCAGAGGCTCAGTTGCCTTTAACCGTGGTATGAAAAGGATTCAATAAATAACGAAGCGTTTTACAGCTGACTTTTTCTGATGAATTTTCCTCTCCCTTAGAAAAGCTTTATTTTCTATTTGCATCTTCTAACTTGTGTTCTCTGTTAATTCTTTCTCTAAAAGTCTTGTTTTTTGACATCTTTTATTGCAACTGTTGGCAGCTGCAAGGGCACTGGATGTATTGAATTTCACTCCTCTTAATGGAAAGCCAATTAGGATTATGTATTCCCACCGTGACCCTAGTCTTCGCAAAAGTGGTTCCGGGAATATATTTATAAAGGTATTCATATCTGATGATCATCTTCTTGTGTATAGTCCTTTGTTATTGCCAGCCTTTTCTTTCTGCTAGAATCAGATGTTTTATTTCTTTATTCACTTTGCAAATCATTTGAACTTGTGCAGAATTTGGATAAATTGATTGACCACAAGGCATTGCATGATACATTTTCTGCATTCGGAAACATTCTCTCCTGCAAGGTAGCTACAGATTCCTCAGGCCAATCAAAGGGCTATGGATTTGTACAGTACGACAATGAGGAATCTGCGCAAAAGGCTATAGAGAAATTGAATGGAATGCTATTGAATGATAAGCAAGTTTATGTAGGACCCTTTCTGCGCAAACAAGAAAGAGACTCTGTTACTAGCAAGACAAAATTTAACAATGTCTATGTAAAGAATCTCTCAGAGTCTACAACCGATGATGACCTGAAGAACGTCTTTAGTGAATTCGGAACGATAACCAGTGCTGTAGTGATGAAGGAAGGGGATGGGAAATCAAAATGCTTTGGCTTTGTGAACTTTGAGAATGCAGATGATGCTGCTAGAGCTGTTGAAGCCCTTAATGGGAAGAAATTTGATGATAAGGAGTGGTATGTAGGGAAAGCCCAAAAGAAATCTGAAAGGGAAGTTGAACTAAAGCTTCGATTTGAGCAGAGTATGAGGGAGGCAGCAGACAAATTTCAGGGATCAAACTTGTATGTTAAGAATTTGGATGATAGCATTGGTGATGATAAACTTAAGGAGCTTTTTTCTCAGTTTGGAACCATAACATCGTGCAAGGTTTGTGCTTCTTTTCTCTTATTTCAGAACACCATGATAATCTATTGGTTACAGCTCCATCTTAAATACAACAGGTCATGCGAGACCCTAATGGAATCAGTAAAGGATCAGGCTTTGTTGCATTTTCAACTCCTGAAGAAGCATCTAGAGCTGTAAGTTTACTTGTTTTCATGCAGTAGCAAAGATTATATCCTAAGCTCATATTTCTTTTCTCATCATAGCTGTTGGAAATGAATGGAAAAATGGTTGTCAGCAAACCTCTATATGTGGCAATTGCACAGCGGAAGGAAGATAGAAGAGCCAGGTTGCAGGTATTTTTTTACTGCTTCTTGCAGCATGTTGACTGCTACACTGGTTTATCATGCACTTCTCTTGCAGTTATCATTGTTAATATGATTCTATTCCAGTCTATTAATGAACTTATATAGGGTGCAGAATATATCTCAGATACCATGATGCATTGAAGGATGCTTCTTTTTCTGTTTTATATTGATGAAGTTTTGCTTTGATTTCACTATTAGACCTGTTATAAGTTATTTGTCTTCTCAAAGGATGCTCTTATGAGATGAAAACATAATGCACATTCAAGATACTTTCTCCTGTCTTACTTTGGCAGTGATGTGTTTTGATACTGACTCTTCTAAAATATGTCTTCATCCGGTTGTTTTACCTCATGTGCGTACATATATACGTGATATTTATTGCTTATACAGGCTCAGTTTTCTCAAATGCGGCCTGTTGCAATGACACCCTCTGTTGCTCCTAGAATGCCAATGTACCCCACAGGTGGGCCTGGTATTGGACAACAGATATTCTACGGTCAGGCACCCCCTGCTATTATTCCTCCTCAGGTAACTACTTTTCCTATATGACTGTAAAATGAAAGCAAACAAACATTCATATATTTCTTTCCTGAAGTAATGATTGTTTTCCCATTATTGTACTTCTGTCAGCCTGGATTTGGATATCAGCAGCAGCTTGTTCCTGGTATGAGGCCTGGTGGGGCTCCTATGCCAAATTTTTTCGTGCCCATGGTTCAGCAAGGACAGCAAGGGCAGCGTCCTGGTGGCAGAAGGGGAGGGGCTGTTCAGCAAACTCCACAAGCAGTTCCGTTGATGCAACAGCAGGTTGGAGTTCTCCCATTCATTTTTGTGTTTCTTTGTGTTTTGGCATCTTAATAACTCAAATCTCATGGATCATATGATTGACAGATGATTCCTAGGGGCCGTGTCTACCGGTACCCACCAGGGCGTGGCCTCCCTGATGTTCCCATGCCTGGCGTTGCCGGAGGCATGCTTTCTGTTCCATATGACATGGGCGGAATGCCACTGCGTGATTCGACAATTTCTCAGCCAATTCCTATTGGAGCTTTAGCCACAGCACTTGCAAATGCAACCTCAGAGCAACAGAGGACGGTATGCATCTTCTGTGCTTTGATTAGGGAACGGCTTTTGGGTCTTTAAAAACATGATATGCACATGGATTTCCAATGCCAGACGTTAGGTTTTAGTGATATTAGAAAAAAAATGTTCCAAATGGTCAATTTTTCTATTGCTTAAAGAGAACTGAACATACAAAATTACTTCAAAAACTAACATTGTATTGGGGTGATCAGTTCTCATCAGTTAAGTTGCTTAATTTTCTTTTATCCGCATCAGCTGCTATACAAGTTTGTACAAAAATCTTTATACCCTTGGCATTTTTAAAAAAAAATTATATTTTAGGTGATTAAATTTGTACGGTCTTGGCATTTTGTAGATGCTCGGCGAGAATCTTTACCCACTAGTGGAACAGCTAGAGCCTGATGCTGCAGCCAAGGTTACCGGGATGCTTCTGGAGATGGATCAGACTGAAGTTTTGCACTTGCTCGAGTCACCTGAAGCACTAAAAGCTAAAGTGGCCGAGGCTATGGAGGTTCTGAGGAGTGTTGCTCAACAACAACAGGCCGGTAATCCGGCTGATCAACTGGCCTCGTTGTCGTTGAATGACAACCTCTGAGTTTATATGTGAGCATGTGTTTTTGAGATACTTAAAAGTAGATTCCCCTGTAGTTGTGGTTTTGACATATTTTCCGAAAGAATTTGTTTAGTTGAGTAGGTACTGGTTTTGGTGTGTATACTGCGAGAAGATATTTTGAAGATTGTGACTTCCATGTTCCTTGCTATCTTTGCCTTTTGGTTTGGAACTTGATGGTCTTTCGATTCTCAAAGTTTTAAGAGTCAAGGTGATTGATTGGTTCTCTGTCAAGTGTGTGCATTTGCTTTCTTCTTTTAGGCCGTCTTGTGAATTTTCAAAACTGAGGAAAAACCTAAGTGTTTTTAAATTCTATACGATTAACTATACAAACTACAAAGCGATGTTCAAATTGAAAATTTGAATGAAAAGATGGACCTAATCGAAACGATTAAACTATAAACTGATTTTTGGTTTTTATGGTATTTTTTTTGGCTTCGATCAGAATTTGGTCGTCTTTAATTGTAATGGGAGGAGTGGAAATCTATGAAGTAGCTCTTTTAAGAGTGTTTTGAAAGAAATCTATGAATCTTGTTTAGGTAAACATGCATTTTATCTCTAAATATTTTACATGTATTATATTGTATACCGTATAAGAAGATAGGGAAAAAGAAATAAACCAAACCACTCTCTCCAAGACGTTAGTTGGACCCTAATTAAAATGATCATATCCAATTACACCAAACACAGAACTTAATCTTACCATGTAGTTTGAAAATTAAAACACTGCAAAACATGGATTGGAAGTTTCGGAGGCAGAGCGAGATAAATCTGATGGCAATATATATCAGCTTCAGCTCGGCTAAGTATAATCACGTTACAGTAATCTTTTTTCTGTAAATAAAACCAGGTCTTCCCAACTCTGTTTCCTTCTAATTACTAAGTCAACAGTCGTAATATGCACAGAGACGAATTATTATATTTCTAAAATTACAATCACATTTCCAGGACCTGCATGGAGGAGACACAGCCTGCAAACTTACCTACTAAAAGCTCAAAACCTACTGCTTATATTAAACCTCGTGCTGACAGAAAAAACCTCCTTGGGGCCTACTGTTGGCACGAGTTAACCTCTGTTCTCAATAAGCACGTCTCAACCTCAAACCCATATCGACTTCTCTGTCATGTCGGATTAAACCCGCAACTCTAGAATCAGAATTCTGTGTTTCAGAGCTAGTTGCTTCATTCTGCTTCTCTCCAAAGTCTTCACCAAAGTTATGAAGCCTGCGGCCGATGAGATATCGATCGTCCCGTATGGAGTTATGAAGGTTTGTGAACCAAACATGAAATCTTTTTGCACAAAAGCACAGAAGACTGAAAGAGAGGCATCCGAGCCAGGCGAATCGGTAGACTGCCGAGTTCACGACCAACGGATAGCCTAGCACAGGAAAAACTCCTCTTGCCAACACGTAAGGTACACATAGGGCTGTCAATAGCTTCATCATGATTGGAAACACAATCTCCCGAAGCACCCAAAGGCCTTGCAGCCTGGAGAAACCGTCATCCCTCACCCTTTCAAATTTAATTCGCCAGCTTTCATCCACCAATGGAAGCATGTGATCCAACATAACCTGTGCAGATGCAAACAGAAGGTTAAGCCTTCATTTTGTAAGGCTGGAAATGCACCTAAGTGATATTATAAGTTACCAGTCTTGTCCAGATCTTCAGAAAAATTAGACCTAATGCCCAGTCCTGATACAGGAGAAAAACTGGGCTTTCATCAACAGGAACTCGCATCGGCACAATTACCAAAAGCTCGAAAAGAAGCCCAATTAATACTGGAATAACAAAAATCTGCAAAGTAACAAAGAGAGAGATTCAAGGTTTAAAAAAATTTGATAAAAAAAATTATATAAATAGATAATATAACTGTTCCTAAAGAAAATGACAAAGAAAGACCCTTACCCATATTGAAAGAAGTGCAGAGCTCTTCATAACAATGCCGCACCATTTCCAAATTTGGCTTATCAAAACCACAGCCCTCTTTGTTCTGACATGCTCAATAGAATATCTAGCTCCAGCTATGGAAGTCCAGATGACGTATGTCCCAATGATGAAGGCGTAAAGATCTAAGAAGAAATGAACCATGAGCTTATTAGGATTTCCATCCCAGAAATACAAGGCAGATCAAATTAAAGATTGATTCTGTAGGTCATATTACCATTGCACTTGACGCCATGAGTTATTGGGAGGAGAGGTATGGCATTGAAAAGCAAGCGTCCCAGTGAAATTGGCACCACTATCAAGGCAGAATTGAAGACAAGCAAGGTCATCCACGCAACCACCAGCAAGAGGACAATACGCAGTACAAAGCCGTACCTGCTAAATAGCATCACTTTAAGTATAATTCTCATCCCCAAGGTCCGAGGTAGTGGGAAGCAAGCATTTTCAATCTAACAATAACAAGACATGTAGGCAAACAAACAACCCAAAAACTTCTTTAATGCATTGCCGTTCTCAGGTGGCTACATGCCCAGAATCTACAATTGATTTAAGTTAAAAAAAGAACTATCCAAAACCAGAACAAGCCAAACCAAAATGAAGTAAAACAGATAATTAATCCGCTACTCAAGCAGACACAGATTTTCTTTTTACATATAAATCTAGGAAAAATAAATGTGGATAAAAAATATAGTTATGACCCTAATTTTTTTTTACAACATATGACATAATAAAAGAAAATATTGAAAACCTAACCCAAACCCCTTTCTATACAAGGCTAAACAATGGCATGATCTAAAACCATGAATTTTTATGAAATAATTCCCCATTCATGAATCTGCATACAATTCCTTAAAAGCAAAGAATTCAGCCAACTAAACTATAAACAAATTTACTCAAGAAAGATGATTGATAAGATTACAAATATAACTCCCACAACTTACTCAGAGTCGGACTGTTCATCACCATCATATTCCTCGGAAACATCAGGGTTCCCTGATCCAAGGAGGCTTCTGTTTGCATCATCAGCAGCTGCTGCAAGTGCAACCATGGCACGATCCTGTCCACCTAATTGTAGCACCTGGAGTCTGTCCTGCCTCCCTGGTTCTCCATTTCCACTATCTTGGCCACCATTATCCTCGGGTTTGGGCAGTAGAAAGTCGGTCAAACCAAGTGCCCAGCCAACTGCTGTAAACCAATAACGGAGGAGAGATTTTATTGTTGTTCGCAATTTAAAATGCTCAATAGCAAAAGGAATGCAGATTTGAAAGAGAAGCATGTCGGCAGGAATTTCAGTGAATGGATCTGACACCCTGCAAATATTTCAAAAAAATAAAGGTTATATCTGGTATCAAAACTTCACATACAGAAAGATAATAGATACCACTGAAACAGATAGTATCATACGATATATCAAGTGGGAAAATGGAGGGTGCCACCCGCATTGCAAGTTTCACTGGTAAAAATACCAGCATCACAATCAAACTCCCATAAACTGCAACAGATAACAGAACTCTGCGAGCATGTTTGTGAACAGGATCATCTATTAGATCACGAAAAGGGTTATAGTTAGGATCAGCTGGATCTCGAAGGAAGTATAAAACTCCATGGCGCAGGACCTGCATATGACAAGTAAAGAAAGGTTACTGATGAGTAAGAAAACAGGTACTGTCCTGGAAACCAGATTACTAAAAGTAATAAGAACATGAAGAGCAATACCCCCCGAAGAAGGCTAACAAATATGCTTATTTGCAGCATATACACAATTCCTACAACCCAATGAACCAATGAACTTGCCAAAGGAGAAACGGATAAGAATTGGACTCTATGAGACATTGTCTTCCCAAACATCCTGATTGTACAAACATCTAGCCACCATCCACACATCAAAGGGAACACCCCAAGCTCAATGACCAACAAGAAAGCCACCTTGATCATTGTCATTAAATGCCTCATTGCAGCCAAGAACTGTCGGAAAAGAGATGGAACTGTCTCTGCTATAGAAGCAATACCATAAAATCTTCCCATAGTTAATGGCTCACCCTTAGTGTACCGTATTAAAGCAACAATGCCCAGATAGAAGAAAACCAAAGAGAATATAAACATGTATCCAATAGCCAGAGTTGTAACATCAGAAAGCCGAGATGTTCCAACAGTAACCCCTTTTAAAAGCTCGGCTGAAATTGGTGCACTTGTATTGCTTGAAATTTCATTTAGTCCGCTAACATTTGCTTTTAGCATTTCTGAAACTTGGCCGATCAGACCACTTTCTTGGCCTTCAGATGTCAAATTTGAAACAGCAGTTAATGCATTCTTCAGTGTTGTATTTGCTAATGAGAGGGCGGTATCTGTAAGTGGCATAACTGCTGAGAGCAGAGGACCACTAGTAGAGGAGAAAATCCAGGATACGTAATACAGTATGCTCCGACCAATAGTGAAGGGCAAAAAGATAACCACACCAAAGGAATATCATATTGCTTGCCAGGACCTGCAAAAGAATAAGACCCAGTTGGCATGAAATGTAACAGAAAAGTTCAAAACAGGGGGTAGGCATTTTATTCTGACAATCAATGGAAAGCAACTGGTTGTATATCATCCAAAAAATAAGCAAATGGGTGAGCAAACATCAACCCTACAACAATAAAGCTGTCATTTTCATACGATATGCAGAAAGGATTTGAGTTAGCATCATGCAGCAGTAGCAACCACTGATTAAATTTGCAGGACACCTCCAAGCCTGTGATAGCTAACATGTGACATGAGCAACTAGACATGATGCTGTCATGTAACATATGGTTTACAATCATGCACTGAAGTACTAAAAGGCCATACAGTACTGAGAATTATGATACACGACCAAAAATTCAAAAGGATGTGAAGCACATACATGAAATTAATGCAAAATAAAAGCATGCTAAGCCAATTACCACTATATCTAGCCTCTACTGGCTAATCACAAAAGGGATTGAACACTAAAAGAAAGGGCATGTCATTTCTTATTTTGTTCAAAGGATCTCCATGCAAATCGTAAAAGGGAATAATGATCAAAGATAAAATGAAAAAAATGAGAACAATAAAAAAATATATAACACCAGACTGTCAGTACATGTACACGTCAAGAAACAAGGGAGATAAACATAATTAAGAAAAAAGAGGGAAAACACACTTACAGTAAATGCATTTTCAACCAAATGAAACACAGGACCCTGCATGCCAACAAGTTCGTCAAACGGCACATCCTCTGCACCATCAGCATCATCCAGCCCATCAAACATCTGTTCAACATGTGCTTCAAGGCGAGCTGCCTGCATCTCCCATCGTGCAGCAACATTTTCTGCATTCCTCCTTATTATTTGACCAGCACCAGCAGCTCCTTGTGCTCCAGCAGCATCTTCAGCATTCCCATCACCAGCGAGATTTCTATTAGCTTGCCCAGGAGGTCGCCTTACAGCACGAGCACCGTTTCTGTCCCCTTCATCATCCCTCTCAGCATCCTGCCCTCCAAGCTCCCGTAAATGCCTGAAGTAATCTCTCAAAGAAGTAGCCCCAAGGAAAATGAACACAATGCTAGCAGAAAGAAGGAATCCGTGCAAACAATCAGTAAGAATAATTGTAGTTGAGATGTGACTTAGAAATAATCTCTGGGCTTCACCAAAGCTCCTTACGAAGGCCAGCCGCCATATCCAAAATGTAATAAAAGGTATTATAAGGAGCCAAACAGAAAGTACAAAACTAAGGCGTAAAAAGAACTGCAGAACATGGCAAGCTTTCATTGCCATTCCAACTACAAACTCCTGGAAAGGAAGTCTTGATGGCGCATTCTCGGCATAAACAGGGGAGAAGGAAAACGCATGCTTGCATACCTGCATTATTCATCAAGTACTTCTTTTTAATGGTAGAAATACACACAGAGAAAATGAAATGAGGGGAAAACACAGCAATAAGTAAACCTGCAAGGTAAATAGATGCTACTGAAATACAAATTAATAAAGTGCACTCAAGAAAACAGAAGAAAGCTTTAGCTTATACGTTTATATTGACATGCACAAACATCTGCACATAAATGCTGAGTTTAAATTTCAAGCCCGACAATGCACTTGCAGCACTTCATCTATCTTAACTAACAAATATGTGCTTCAACTTTAACTTCCTTCTCAAAACTATCTTCTCGAGACCCTAACAATTTGAGACTACCTAATAACTACTATAATTTCAAAGTCAATAAGAGAAATAGAGAAACCAAAATCAGATGTTAAAAGACAATGAATAAAACCCACGACTGAAAGCAAAAATATATACCAAAAATGTCATTCTTTCTCCAAAGAACTTATTGTTATTGCCTGTGATCAAACTAGAACGGGCAGCTTATGCATTTATACATAATCTATTTGACTCAATTCAAAGTTCATAGCATAGAAGAGTGCAGTTTACATGATCTGATGATTTTCAGGTTAGATAAAAAACATTTACAACATTTATTGACCTTTACGATCGCTAAACTTGTTCTCTCTCACTCTCTCATGATAAAAAAACATGCATTTCCCTTGTCATTTCCTCATGCTTCCCCACTGGTGGACGATTAAACGAAGGTTCTCTGGTAACCTCTATCAAACCAATAACCCACTTCAAATCATGAAAAGAGAAACCAATCACCATATACATTTCATGAACACAGCGACTCACAGGAATCACATGCAATCCACTGAATTATTTAGCAATACTTCAAAAGAGTAATAAAATTAGCACAAAAAAGAAAAGATCCACTAAACCCTAATCAGACCTTAATTTCAGCTATCATCGACCATGCTCACCAAAACCACAATCCCCTCCAAATTCACAGCAGTTCCCCAAAATTGCCCCAGAAACCTATCAAACTATGCACATAGGCATCCACATAATCGCACAGAAGAAAAATATACCCATGTGTACGAGATGGACACGAACACACCGAAGACCGAATATAGAAAAAGAGGGAGGGCAAGAATTGGAAAAGAACCTCGCACTGCCGAGCGTTGCTGTGATTAAGCCACTGAAGGAGACAATCTTGGTGAACAAACTTGATACTTCCACTACACGCGCACGGATAACGCAGCGGATTCTCCGCATCCCCTGGGTTCCTGCAGATCCTGCAAACATCCTCTTCCTCCTCCTCTTCCTCATCGAACCTCGCCACAGCCGCCGCCGAAGACGATACGCTCTCTTCCTTCTTCACGGAAGAAGGACTAGACGACGAAGACGACGATGAATAAGAGTTTACCGATCGCGAGGACACAGAAGCGGCGTCACCACCGCCACTACTGCCGCCAATCGGAGAAGGCGGCTCGGCCGAGGAGATCTCCATTCAAGACTGAGGATATGGAGTGAAGAAATTCTCGGCGGCGATCAGTTGCGATGAGTTAGCTCAGCGAGTCGGATCAAGATTTTTAGCGGAGGAGGAAGGGGATTGCGTTGGTAATCCTGGAGGAAGAAAGAGAAAAAAAAAAAGAGATCGTTGGGAAGACGGGCGTTGATGTGGTAATGATTGGTCGATAATACCCTCGTCAGCCGTCTTTTATCACGGTTTTAACGTTTTGTCGGTTTGCGGAATTATTTTAAATAAATTAAAATTACTAAATTAATTCTCAAAATTTTTATATCAAACTAATCAATTTTCTTTTATTTTCTAATATAATTATTTATAATAATTAAATATTTTATAAAATACTTTTAATTACTTAATAATTTATTTTAAATTTTTTTAATTTAATTATGTAGCGGTTGAACCAGTTAAATTCAGTTACGAACCAACTTTAATATAAATTATAAATTTATCATAATAAAAAAAAATATATACTTTCATATAAATTCAGAAATTAAAATAAATTAATTCAGAATTTTAAATAAAATTCATTAATATTTTAATTTATTTCAAAAATAAATATTTATATATTATTTTAAAATTTAATGAATTAAAATGGGTTTTTTTTGGAAAATAGTGTAAATGTTAATTTAATTAAGTATCATATTGGTTGTTGAAAATATTGATTGTTATATTCCTGATGTTGAAATTTGCGGTCCAAATAGTTTAGTGACATGGACCACATAAAATTGTACGTAGAGTAACAATAATAATAATTATGAATTATAAAATTTATCTATGATTATTTTTTTTAACATATAGTTTTTTTAATGATAAATATTTTTCTCAATTATAACTAAGTATATAAGTATAGATATTTTATTTAATAATGCATTTAACAGAATTATAGCTTATGTATGAGCTGTAAACAAATAAAATTTTAATAAAATTAATAATGCATATAATTAATTATACATACATATGTATATAACAGATAAATAGGAGTTTTTTAAAATATATATAATTATTTAGTCATTTGAATTTTGGACAGTGGGCTTTGTTTTTACACTTCATGACAAAGACAGGCCGAGTCCACGGTCTGTAATGTTGAAGAACTCGCGTTTTGTATGACAAGCAGGAGAACGACGTCGTTGGTAATTTGCATTTTAAGTGAAGCAAGCAGGAAAACGACGCCGCTTCAAAAAAACGTAAAAAATTACAACTTATCAGAGCCAGGTTTCGATCCTGGGACCTGTGGGTTATGGGCCCACCACGCTTCCGCTGCGCCACTCTGATTTACGAACACTTGCCTTACATAAATTTATAAATTCTTCAGTTCCCATATTTTTGACCCTCATTTACGTACTAATTAACTAATTATTATAAATATAAAATCAAAAACCGGTTAGTTCATAATATATTTATAAAATAATAAATTTTAAATTTATAATATTTAAATAAAATATATTAATTTATTCACTTTAAATTATATCATACTTCAAAATTTTGTAATATAAATAAATTAATGTTTTCGTCTATATAATTCTATATATTTATAGTAAAAAATATATATAAAATATTTATTATTTTTATATTTTATAATAAAACTTAGGAAATAATAGAAAGAGGTGATGAAGTCCAACAATGATGGATGGTGCACGTTTCATCAAACTTTATGTTTTGTCAACTTTGACACTAAAAGCATTTGGCCTAAATTTTCGTTGAGAGTTTGGTCCCAAAATAAAGTCACACCCACCACAAAAAAATGTGAGAAAAATATAGACCATATATATTGCTACAACTATACATACACACACACACATATATATATATATATACATATTGGTGTAAGCAACATACCCAAATCATTATAATTAGTTAGCTAATTAATTAAATTGCTAAAATCAAATGAAATTTTATTAACTTTTTTCCATATTGATTAACCTCATTTTTTGACACTTAAAATAGTATTTTTCTTTATTTTAAATAAAATTTTTATTTACAAATTTAAGAATTATTTGACATTAAAAAAATTATATTAAATTGTTGACAATAAATAATTTAATTTATTATAAGAATCACAAATATTTTAATATTTAATTGAAATATTTATTTTATAATTAAAAATAGATGGTGTTAAGGAAACATTAAAAAAATTCCGACGACAAAATTAGACTTTTATATTGTTTATCCAAGTTTCTCCACCCACGCTTCTTTCGTGCGCGTGCGGAATACCCGCTCCAGGTGGAGGATGTTTCAGAAAAGTAAACAGTAATTTTAATTTTTACTTCGTTGGTAAAAGTAAATATATATTAAACTACAGTGAAAAAAGTAATTAAAGAAGTAAGGAATAAGGGAGCGTGTAACTCACACAAAAAATCCAGCAATCTTGACTGTCTCCTTCGTTAAACGACAAAAATCAAACGGATCCAAATACAGAAAATTACCAAACCTAACGGCTCTCTTCCGCATCCTCATTCTGTTCTTTTCCCACCCTCATAAATAAATTTATCCGCTTTTGATTACTCCTTTCTTTCTGCTTTTGTCCCTTCAATGTCTCACTTTGCTTGAATTCATCGCTTCCTTTTGTTTTCTTTTTTGGGTCAGCTCCCATGGCTTCTCTTTCTTATCATCACTCCTCGGTGTGCAGTAAAGTGTCGGTGGAATCATAGCATCCAATGTAAAACAAACTCTTCTACTACATTTCACCTTCTGTTCTCTCTCTCTCTCTCTCTTTCTTCTTTGTTTTGATTGCATTTCACATTTTCTTCATCTTTCTCGCTTTAGCCTAACTCTTCTTCCTAATAAGACTTCTGGGTCTGGTTTAGACCACTCAGGTAAAGAGGCTAAAAACTGAAAGTAATGATTTTTATTTTTTCTGGGTTGGTGTTTTTTGTTTTTCCGGAGGTTGTTCTTTCTTGGGATTTTGGTTTCATGGCAGATTTCAGCTTGTTTTTCTTATGGGTCTGATTGTAACTACAAGGCCATTGTTGGGTACAAGCTTGGATTTTCATTTTTTGAGTGTGCTGTGACTTGAAAGCTTTTGGTTTTTCGAGGATAAATATGGAAGATTAGGGATCTAACCATTCAGTTATTACACAATGAACTAGCAATTCATTAAAAGTTAATGAGTTACTATTAAATGATAGAAAAATTAATTGAGAAGCATCATGATTCCGAGCCTTCTTTTTCCCATTTCCATGTCCTTCTTCTACTGTACTTCTCAGTGATTAGCGAGAAAATCAGATGACAATATCTTTCTTTTTCAAATCTGTACTCAACCCCTGTTGGATCTCTGATTACATACAACACTTTCGACATATTGTTTTATGAATTTCCATCTGTGGTGGTTGCTATATTAAACTCTAATTTTTTTTGCTAATTCAGTGATATTTCCTTTCATTATATTAGTATATAGTATGAATTATTAACCTGGGCTAGTTATTGTCAGCTTAAATTTTTGAATAATTAATCAAACCTTTTATTTCTGTTTGTTAATCTCTTTGTGTTAGTTGCCAATTACATTGTTCTTGGAGCAAAAATATCACCTCCATTAAGTTGATGAGAGAAAGTTTGATTTTTTTCCCCTTTTTGTTCCTCTCCACAGAACTTATATCATGGATTCCAAGACTTGGCGCTGGAGGAAAAAATCCCCAGATAATAAATCTTTTGACAAAGTCAACAATTCGCTTAGTCGAATCGATGAAGAGGTAGCTTAGAACCTCTCCAGTACCTTTTCAATTCGGCATCCGGTTTAAGATTGAGAAACACTTACTTTCAGAATTCTTCATACTAAACCCAAGATCAATGAGAATACTAAATATGATTGAGTTGTCATTATTTGATTAAGTCAGGTGGAAACCCTTTCTTCAAATGGAGAATTTAGATCGCGGAGAGCTGTGAAAAATTTAAGCGAGAAGTTGGCTTCAGTCCTCGTTGATTGTCCTGCTAAAGATGACGACTCTATGGCAAGTCAAGCAAAGAAAGGACAAGAAGCCATTGCAGGTGATTTTTCATTTCTTCTGCTATCTTTCATGTGGGTATTTGGAATAATCCAATTACTGAAATAAGTTTTTTTTAGGCCAGGAAAAGGCAGAACTAGAAGCAATATTGATGGTAAAAGAATTAGATGAAATGAAACGAGTGGTGGGAAACGAGAAGATGATTCATTCAGATGCTGCATTGAAGGAGTGCATACAGCAATTAGAATTTGTTCGGAAAGAGCAGGAGCTAAGGACACGTGGTGCTGTTATGAAGGCATCCAGTGAACTCGATAATGAAAAGAAAGCATTGGAGGAAAAATTAAGTGAGGCAAATAGAAGGCTTGACAAGTTAGCTGTTGAGAATACTCATCTGACTAAGGCTCTCTTAGTTAAAGATAAGTTGGTTGAAGATTTACAACAGAGGAAGTCTCAGGCTGAAGCAGAATTCAGTGCACTTTTGGTAAGATCAGATTCAACAGAAAAGGAAAATGCATTTCTAAAATATGAGTTTCACGTTCTTGAGAAGGAGCTCGAGATAAGAAATGAAGAGATGGAATACAATCGCCGATCTGCTGACCTAGCACATAAACAGTATCTGGAAGGTGTGAAGAAAATCTCAAAGTTAGAAGCAGAATGTCAGAAATTACGCCTGATGATGCGGAAGAGGCTGCCTGGTCCTGCAGCTATGCTGAAGATGAGGAGTGAAGTTGAGATATTAGGAAGGGACAGGATGGAGATGAGGAAGAAAAAGATGAATCCCGGAAGAGAATTGATTGTGAGAGACCCAATGGTGGAAAGCTCTCACGAGTTTCCGAGGAACAAGGTCAATCTCCTCATAGAGCAGTTACATGATGTGCAAGAAGAAAACAAGAATCTTAAAGAGATAATAATAAGAATGAATCCTGAACTTTATTCTTCAAAAGTACCATGCTCACAGCCAGCTTCAAGAGTATTGCAGGTTGACGCTCTTCTTAAAGAGCTTTCAGTTTCAAAAGGTCAGAAATCTATGGAGCTGGCAATGCGTAGTTCTAGTTCAAACGAGGTTTCTCTGATATCTGGCTTTGACATCAGTAGTGATGATGGAGGTAGCTCTTCTGGGTCATGGGCCAGTGCATTAATTTCAGAACTGGAGCATTTCAGAGATGAGAGACTCAGGAATTCAAAGGATTGCCGTGTCAGTGGAATTTCCGAGATGAGTTTGATGGATGATTTTGTCGAGATGGAAAAGTTGGCCATCATCTCTGTTGAAACACCTTCAAACCAGACATATCACCCCACTTCAACTAGTACTGAACTGGTACCAGTAACGCAAGGTGATTCTAATTTCAACGATGTGAAACAGATGAACTCAAAAGAAGTAGCAGCTGGAGAATCTTTTGACTGGCTTCAGGTTGTTCTCCAAGCACTATTAGAGCAAGCACGAATTTCAAAACAAAGTCTTGAGGAACTACTGGAGGACATTAGGATTGCTTTGTCTGGCACTAGTCTTCCCAATACCGAGAAAACTGATAAAATGGCAATATCAGGACAATCTAAAGAATTTGATCCTCTCCATATCAGTGGTTATATCACCTGGAAATCTCCAAATACATCTCCAGTCATAGATCCATCGAGTGGAACACTAAATATTGACACTCAGTGCAACCTGCATCAGTCAATCAGTAAAATCATCAAGCTGGTTGCAGGAATCAATATAAAATCTTTAGACAGTAATCATGCTTGTGATAATTGGTCTGACAGAGATCAAAGTTCCTCACCATTAGCATCCTCTGCAGATTACTTTGTCTGTATTTTCCAGTGAAAAGATCTGAACTGAATCTTGTTCTGCAGCAGTTCATCCATAACTGTAATGAATGTTGAATGGGAGATCTGATCTTGAGAAATTTGCTAACGAGCTCTCATCTGTTCTGGACTGGATCTTGAACAACTATACCACTCCTAAAGATGCTTTTAGTTCTAGGGATAAGAGCAAGAAACATTTTGGTCAGAACAACCCACCAAATGATGATAAAGTTAAGGCTGGAGAGGATTTATATGATGTATCGGAGGCAGATAATACATGTACTGAGCGAGGAGCATGTTTGAAACAGGTTTCTTCTTCATGTGATCAAAACTTTTCCTTTCAAATGGAAACTAGTCAGATTAATATTCAGGAAGAAAACAAAAAACTGAAAGATGAGATGAAGAACATGGAAGACAGGCTGGAGTATGCAG